CACACATACTGTATATAAAATCTAAAATCTGATATAGATTTTAATAGAACCATATATCTATTTCTATCTCTTTATAGAATTTGTTCTCTGGATGTTCTGAAAATGAAATAATCTATCTCTATTCTACACAACATAAAACACAATAAGAGACATCCACACAGTATAATAAAATGCAGTGCAAGATGCAGACCTAAAACAAACCTTCCACATATATTTCACAATAGAAGTAATAAGAAACATGAAACTAGGTTTATGAGAAAAGACACTCCATAAAGAATGGAGGTTCTAGGCCTTGTAGAGCTTCATAGTTGAAAAACAGAAGTTTGAACCAGTCTGAAAACTAATTGAAAGCCAGAGTGAAAAAGGATTGGTGTAATATGATACTAACACCTGTTCCTATATAAGCAATTGTAGCCATGGTTTGTACTTGGCCTTCTTCAATCCTTGGCCATGCTGGCTGAATGATTATGGGAGTTAAGCCCAATACATGTGGAGGGCACCAATTTGAGGTATCTGAATTATTTCAAAGATAGTACCCGATCACAGCACTATGCAATAACAAATTAGTGATAACTGCTTAGGCCCCCAGAATAAGTTCCTTTCTCCTTCTACCAGATTTGAAATCTAGTGATTTGTGCATACACTAGAATTGGATTGAATAGAATTAAATGTACACTACATATGGAGGATTGAATTTCTCAGTGTTTCCATGTGTAAAACAGATAGAAAAACCATCACACTAAGCAAAAGGTCTTTTTCTCCTCAATATGCTAGGTGTTTGTTTGTTTTCTGCAGACTATCTGAGAAAGCAGCCTTCAGAAGTGACAACTGCCATGTTCAGTCTGAAGTAATGTGAAAGTATCTGTCAATCAACTCAGCATTCAGTTCACCCAATTTTAGTGTATATGTAAATTCTAATCTAAGCTAGCAGCCATCTGAGCAGCAAAAAAAATCAATACATGAAAGAAAACGTACTTTCCTGCCCTGAACTGATATTGAATGACCTTGATATTATAACAGAGGAGAAAAAGCAAATATTTTCCTTTGTCTACTTTCTATACTCTATACAGAAAGTTTGGGACTGCTGCTTTACCCAATATAATCTGATTTCTGAATCCTGACTGAGGTTACTGTTAGTTAGTTAGTTACAATAGTTAGTTTGTTGATTTATTTGTTTCAGCCAATGTGGTGCAGAGATTAAGGTGTTAGAAAGTTTGGGACTGCTGCTTTACCCAATATAATCTGATTTCTGAATCCTGACTGAGGTTACTGTTAGTTAGTTAGTTAAATATTTTCCTTTGTCTACTTTCTATACTCTATACAGAAAGTTTGGGACTGCTGCTTTACCCAATATAATCTGATTTCTGAATCCTGACTGAGGTTACTGTTAGTTAGTTAGTTACAATAGTTAGTTTGTTGATTTATTTGTTTCAGCCAATGTGGTGCAGAGATTAAGGTGTTAACCAGGAGCAGGAAGACCCAGGTTCTAGTCCATCCTCAGCCATGGAAGTTCCTTGGATGACTTTGGACCAGTTACACTCTCTCAGTCCCAATCTACCTTCCAGAGTTGTTGTGGGGAAAAGAGGGAATAGGGAGCACTATGTACACTAGCCCCTAAACAAAAGCAGGTCATAAATATAATAAATGCATTTATAAATTTGATAGGCTGATGTAATAGTTTGCTCCTCCGTGACATCTTTTTTCATTCTTTTTGAAATGGGGCCAAAGTTGGGCACGTGCCAAGGCCCATATCTTGCCTCCCTCAATCTCTGGTTTTTCTTCTCCTTGTTGCTCCATTTAACTATTTTCTTCAACTTGGCCTCAGTCTTTCCCTTTGGAGGGTGGCTCTTTGGGCTATTGAGGGGAAAGAGGTGAAGAGAAGAGATGTGTCCCGTCTGAGATCATCCTGCTTAAGGCCTCCAGAACAGACATGAAAGAGGGCAGTCAGAATTTTAGGCAATACTCAAAATGCAGCTCTGTCAAAGACATCACAAATCACAAAGCTTCAATTGGTAAATAAGCAAATGGGAAGTACGTTCTGGGAAAAATATCTTGCTTGCAATATGGAATTTGTCTTTCAGATTTGGATAATCTGAGTGAATTTCTGTAAAGACAATGCTGAGCAATAGACTGTTTCTCACGTAAACCCCCAGATTATGAAAATGCTTCCTTTTTATTTCCCATTTCAAACACTTCCTTTTTTCTCCCCTTCGGGTTTGTATGTGCCCATGCTTGTGTAAAAAGTACAGGACTCAGTCATGGTGCCTAACTGGAAACTGAACTGGACTATGTTCCAGAAGAAGTCTGGAAGGTTATGGATTCAAATTTCTTTATGGTTGCATGATTACTGGGTTTGCACATTATGCTAAACCACAACGTCATTTCGTTCTTTTGGTTTAGCATACTGTGTGAGCCCAGCCAATTGTTGTTGATCTAACAAACCTTAAGCAAGCCAAGGCTTAGTATACATATATCTGAATCCAGCTACCATGTGCAGGATTTAGCATGTTAGAATTTGATCTGGGAGATGAGATTTTTTCAGTGCTCAGTCATGAAGCACTCTAAAAGTATGGACTGTTTCCTCTTCCAATCTAATACATCTTGACTTTTCTTTCTATATTCATGCCAGAACTTGTTTTTCAAGAATAAGGCACCTTTAGCAGATCCTGCCACAATATATTTAACGTCAACAATTCTGTTTTTCCTGTATCAGGCCTACACAGACGGTGTTCTCCTTATAAAGTTTAGAAGGAGGATGGACATTTTCATTTTATTATCTGATGCTTTTTTTGTAAGCCATCCAAAGCCATTGGAGTGCTAAAAATAAGCATAAATGTGATTAAGAAAACTGAAACAGTAGAGTGCTATAAATATTGGGTTTAAAGGATGTGGATGATCTGAATTCAAATCCACAGCCAGCTCTGAAATTCTAAGGGTGGCCTTGGGAAGATCACACTCATTCATTCATATCTACTGTGTAACGTCATTAGGAAGTGAAGGTTGTAATCCTTCCTATACCCTCTTAGCTGGAAAGTTAAGACTATACATTTACTGAGGGGAAAAATTTACTGCTTTTTAGAAGAATATCAGTACATTGGGCAGTTTTCACAAACATTTAATAGCTCAGATAATGCTGAATTGTCCCTCATCAGAGATTCACCCATTATGACCAACAGAGGGGGTTAGTAGAAGATAGCAACATTTAGAGGTCAAACAGTTCCTGTATCTTAGTGGCCTCCGCCACTGAATAGCTATTTATGGGATTAACACTTCCCAAATATGGTGATGAACACTAGCTTAGGTTGTTTTAAAAGCCATTGGATAAATTAATAAACCTGTCTATCAATTAGTATTAGCAGTTAACAAAGTGGACCCTCCAAGTGGAGAGGTAGGGACACAGCTATGCAGAAAGGTTACTGCTTTATAATTTAGGGGACTACTAAAAGCATAAAAAGATATTTTGTGTGGGAAATAGGAAGATTTGATGGATTGCTCAACTCTTGCAGAATTCTTAATTTTTCACACAAAGGGTGTAACAATATGTTACAGGCATCTGTCTGATAGTGTCTGTGTGGCATTACTGGAAATGTGTTGAAAATAATTTCCGTCCCTCTCTACGCTATTGTGAATGTCCTGTCAATTTCAAATTGCTAATTATCTCTGGGTTTCCCCTTTGCCCCTCATTTCTTTCCTTTTTCCCCTTTCAAAAACAATGTGACAATCCTCTCCCACACTCAAGCACGTGTTCTGTGCAGCCAAAAAAAAAAAAGACTGTCACTCAATAACAATCCCCCAAATATTACCCTTCCCCCCTTTCACTGTCTGGAAGTGTGTGTATGTGTGTGTGTGTGTGTCTATGTGTGTGGTTTGCTACACACTGTTAGCAAAGCACTCTGATCAAGTCAGGTCATCACCACAGGCTTTAATGTGGCTAAGTCACATTTACCCAACACATTCTCACCAATTACCAAGCAATTTAACAGTTTCCTCCAACAGCCTAAAGGAACTGTGGTTTAGGGAGGAGGCTATGAATTAAACTAGAAATGCATTAATCCTGGCACTTTCAAAGCTCTACGTAGGGCCAGACAAAATCATTATGTTGCATGGGCACCTAGGTAAGAAACAAGATGGCACCCTTCCCCATTCCTTGTTCAAGAGCCAACTGTACTGACAGTTTAATATGATTTTTACACAGGCAATTGGATAGTGTCCTTCAGCATACCTGCTGGGGAACAAGTAGAATCAAGGTTAGGGTTATGTCTCACACGCACACATATTGAACGCTGATAGTTTTAATTGTTTTTCAGCCATCTTGGGACCCTTTGGAAGATTCAACAGCAAATTCTGTTTTCAATAAATGAATAAAATTGCCCCCACTGCATTCTCCTGGAAATTAATTTTTAAATATGTCCAACCCAAACATCTAACATTTAATTCATATATTCAATTTTGTCACTTTTGCATAATTAATATGGAAGTGATTTTTAGCCATTTATTTATTTCATGTTTCTTACAACATTAAGAATCATTACCTTGCTATTCTTATTTTGGTGTCTTCTCTTGTTAGATTGTAAATTGGATGGCCAGGATTCCATCTCTTTCGGATGTGTAAACTGCTCTGGGACCCTAAAAGTCTATCGGTAGACTCCATACATAAATGGATGGTTCCTTTCCAGCAATCCCACAAAGTAAGTTGAGCTAAAGGACTGTGATGGATGGCATGAGCAGGGAAGATTCTGGAATGGAGCTTCAAGGTTGTCAGGAGGGG